TAACAGCACATAACCTGACGTCCAGGCAGTGCCTGACTGATATTCCTACAAATTTGAGTGGTTTAAGGGTTTTCAGGATATTTGCAAAATTGGCTTCTGGTTTTCTTTAATACTTGCTTTTAAATTAAAAAAGTAAGTACATCAGCCTGGTGCACTGAAGATTTTGCTACCAGAAATACTTATCTGGGGCAGCACATGCTCACTGACAAACAGCTGCTTTTAACTAGGAGTTTTCAAGCTCAAGGGAAACCATTGTTCCCTCTTTTGTGGGTAGCAGGGGAACCCAAATAATGATGAATGGGAAGGAAATGGAACAATGGCCAATTTGTCTAGCTGTTAGAGGAAACTGCCACAGAAGTGGGTACACTGCCATCTTGTTAGGATTTCCTGCACTTACAAGTTCATCTGCAGTTCCCTAAAACCACTTTGATCAAATTGGAAGAGTTCTGCCAAAAACTAGATGAAACCCATTCTACATCAGCCAGCATAGTCGTGAAACTATGATGAGTTCGTCTTACGAGAAGGGTAAATGGAGTGAAAAAGCAGAAGAGGAGGAAGGTCAAGTTGCTTATATGAAAAACAGAAACACTACAGCCACCTGTGCCAAGGCTGTTGCTGGAGAACCAAGAGCAGGGACAGATCTGTGCTATTCCCAGCTTTTCTCTTGGGTTCCAGCCCGTACCTAGGGACCAGCGTGCTTGTCACTGGTGCCAGTGATGGCGTTCCAATGTTCACGCAAGACTTGGCATATACAGGGCTAACAGGTCTCAGTGGTAGTGTGCCAACTGGGAGATGTCTCTGGGCCACTGACAGCTTTACAAGTGAACAGTTTAAAGATTATTTTATCTGGGGTTGTGCTGCTAACAGCTGTTTTTCTTCATTACAAGGTCCAGAGTTGAATGGGTTCTCCATCAAAGGTGGACTTTGTGTCCAAAGACATGCCTGTAGTTGATGCTGCCAGTCCTTTTACCCTTCTTAGCCAATAGTCTGCATGCAGATAGAGCATTTCTCAAGGATGTATTCACCCAGGAAGTGTAAATAGTAAGAGCAAGAGAACAAGGTGGAGAATAGAATGGGGAATTTGACAGCACATAGGATGCCTCCCAAAGTATAGAGCAGCTTCTGGGCCCAAAATCTGGGAATTTAAGGGAAGATCTGAAGATACTCAAAAAGAAGTTATAATGTACAAGGTACATTAAAAAAGCACAGGTTTTGCCAAGCAGTCACATACAATTCAGTATTTCTCTGTGACTATGACAGCACACACTCTTAACAGTTTTTAGTCACTCCCTTTTTGCCTGTTAGGTCTGCCTCTTAACACTTGAAATCTCTGCTTACAAAGAAAATGGCAAAAGAATCTGTTCCAAAGAGTTGTATTCAGATCAGAAATTTCCTCCAAAACATCCTAAAAGTTGAAGAGACAGAATGATTGCCATGACTGAAAACAGGTACAATTAGAATGCCCCATTCCTGTGCTGAAGTGAAGTTAAAACGATCAGAATAGAAGTCAAGATTTTGTACCTGCAATTAAAAACCTCAAAATGTCTAATGCACAGAAACTAAATAGTCACTACTAGTTTACCAGTATCACTAGCCTTCTTCCTTTTTCTCCTTCAGGGAACATGCAAAACCATAAAAGAGGTACTCAGCCTTTTTTCAAATTTACTACTATTCATTTTAATAATCCCTTATGCATATTGTTTAAGGTAAGACATTTTGCAAACATTTTTTAGAGATGCAGATAAAAAGATAAAAGCGTACTAAGAAGTTCAAGAAGCTCATCCACCTTCCCGTTAACACTATCCTCAGGAACCTACATACATTCAAAAATCTGTCTCTTATTGTCTTGAATATATCTGTTTAAAAACAAAAAGCAGCTAATCCTGTCTGTCCCACAAACCATTCTTGTACTTTCTGATTTTTCAGTCATTACAACCTATATTCAAATCTGAATTAGCTCTACACCAAAGCAAAAAGCCCACTGGAGATGTAGATTTGGAACATTGTTGTGTCTACAGGAGCTTTCTGCAGCCATGTGGTAATTTCTGTTACGCCAGCACACCTGCCAGATGTTAGGAAGTCAGCCTCTTTTCCTTGTCTTGCCTCACTAAAGATACCTGCTCAGAAGCCTCTCAGCCAAATACTACAGAATCGAGCAGTAACATGATGGAGAGTCTAAAACTCCCCAGAAAAATAAGTAAAATACAGCAGCCAGTCAGCCTAAAGGCTGGTGAGGGATTTAAACAAAGGAAAGGATAAAATGCTGGGGTTTTGACAGTAACATAAGACACTTTTTTGTTATAGAAAAAATTCCGCACAATCACTTGTGCCCTGAAAGTGTAAATGTTTTGCCATTCCTTTGAGTAAAATGCTTCAAATAATCTAAACAGAACAAAAATAATCCAAATAAAATCTCTTACTGCTTCAGAACCTGAGATGGATGGGATTTAAGGGGGTCACATTTCCATTAGAGATAAATACACAGACTGTGTAGGACAAAATGCTTGCTTGTTGATATAAGCTTGTATGTTTATTGGGATAATTAAAGTCTGCTTTGAATATAACCCTCAGTTGAAAAAGTCTAGTATCACATTCCTGATAGGGTTAGGTGTCAACCACTTACTGCTAATGGTGATGGTCTAATTAGATTGTTAGATTTTCCTTTGGCCAAGTGAACTTTACTAACAATGAAAAATAGCATCAAAAGAATGTCAAACTGCTGGTAACACCTAAGCTACATTTTAAAACACATAACACAACAAGGAAAAATGCTTGTTTCTATGCCTTATTTGGAGTGTAGTACACTATTTATGACACAAGAACTGAAAGTGGCTTTTGATTTTTTGGTCTCTTGTCATAGGGGTCCAAACTTTGGAAGGTTTTTATCAATGGAGCAAAAAATACTTTTGGGGGATCTGGTGTTCAAATATATACTGCTTTGCAAAAAAATAGGAGTACCTTATTATCAACAACCAGCTGGAGTTTGAATTTATGCATCTGCAAAGACAAGGGATGCATTAATTTGTATCTTTTTCAAGACAAAAATGATGCAGGCTGAATAAAAACATTTTTAAAGTTCCAAGCAACTGTAAAGTAATAGCTGAACAGGACACAAGTTACCCTTCATTTCCTGTCTCTTAACGCCTTTCTGCTTAAGAAAATCAGTTTGCTTCCCACCCAACTATTAGTGAAATTTCATCTGTGCTACATTTGAAAATTACACAGAAAATTTTACAGAACATTTAATTGTTTTCATTCAATGACAAACTAAGACTGACTGGAATAGGTTTGTTATAGGGCACTTCTGCATCTTGGCAAGTAGAAGCTATGGTCAACCTAAGGTGTGCAATCTGACTAACCTCAACAGCTGTAGTGCTGAAGTTGCCAGATTCAGAAACACTCTTGATCACATCTTTACTCCGTACCATCTTTTCCTGGTGGCTAAATACCGATTAAATAGCTTCCTGTCTCTGGGGAAGGCTCCCTGACTCTGCACTCTGAGAAGTACACAGCATGCAATGATTTTTCTGTATTGTAGAACAGCATGATCATCACAGAAACCAGAGCATCCAGTCAAACAAATTACTCCCAGCAGTATTTGAGGGGTTATGATGGTTAGGAACTAGAATAAAGTTTAGGAAACTGCCTTCCAAGCACAGACATTTTGTTTATCTGGACTATCAGCTCTGTCCTTCTCTTGTGTGCTAAGCAGACACCACATGCCTTTTCTCCCACACTGTGCCTGAATATCTCTGGTATCGGTCAGCTGATCGGTTGCTGAGATTAATTATACCATCAGGGATTAGGGCTGTTTACAACTTGGTTGTCAGGCTTCAGGATTTACTCTTATAAAAACACACTCTTCCAGCGTCAGCCTATTCATGTGTGCTTTGGCATTAGCTCTTTAGGGTAAAAACTGTCCTATTGTTATGCGCAGTGTGTCTGGCACAATAGGTCATCAGCCTGGAGCACCGAAAATAACTGCCTCTCTCTTTTTACTATCGGGAGAGGCACTGAACTACAGTAAAGAAAAGCAAAGCCCGCAGTGGTGAAAAACTGTAGAAACATTTAAAAGGGAAAAGTTGGCTGCTAAGTCTAGAGAGGTTTTGTTTTTATTCCTTTAAGGGAGGAGTTGGTGTAGGCCTGGAATTCAAATCTGAAAGAATAATTGTGACTGGGAATGCTGGAAATGTGGGAGCCAATTTGTAAAATGAAGTGATATACTGAGTTGCTTTAGCGTATAGGATTCCTCTTTTACAAATTATTTCCTTCTAGTGTGCCAAAGCATTCCCTTTGAGACAGAACTTTCAAAAAGAGGAGTAAAATCTATGGGGAAAGGATAGAGATTTCTACTGCCAAATGCCCAATCCTTTTTATCATATTCTTTGTTTCCTCCTCCTGAAATCCTTTTCACTAATCTATCTAACCCGATTTCGTCCTCACTCATCTCCACTACAGGTCCTTCTGACACCAACGTGGAGCATCAGCTTACCAAAACAGCTCCCTTCCACTCTGGTCTGAATGGAAGCAGGGCAGAAAATCACACAGATCTCTCCACCCTGAAAACAAGTCTATGATGAATACAGGCCTCACAGATAAGACGCATATAATCACCTCAGCTTCTCTTTAAACACTAAGCAGTCTAAGTCAGTCTGGCTTATTTATTCAGTAAGTTATGTTTTCCTTTATAGCGGTAGCTAGCACAACATGGAAGCACAACCTTTGACTTGGGAGTTTTGCAAGAATAACTGGTAAGATACCAGTAAGAGAAATAATTTAAAAAATACTGCAGCTTTTCCTGACTGAGCTAGTTCTGAATGCCTTGCAGCAAATCAACTAGTATGAAAGAGGAAAGAATACTCACAGTTGTACAGTGGTCAGAAAATGTCCTGGGAAACGAGAAGAAGTAAGAACTGAAGTTATTTCTTTGCTAAGTCAAAGCCATCATTCCAGCCACCGTTTCCGGAAACTATTAGCAATGAAATTTAAGAAAAAAACCCTTGAACGGTTATGTCAAATGATACATCTTTAATTTCTAAAAGGTGATAAATACTAAGAAACTGATCTAGTTGACAGGCAGTTAATCCTCCTTGCATAGTACATTTATCTCCATGGGATATCAAGAATTACACTACTTCAGGAAAACTGGCACCTAAGTGAGCAAGCAGCCTCAATCCTATACAAAAGTTACAGACAACCTCAATGTTTCCAAGTTTTACTTTGTAATGGATCCAGAGAACAGTCTTTGCTTCGTCCACACCTATCCCACAGTAGTGTATTCTTTCACTGCACTTTTCAGTTGGCCGTCTGTATGAAAAACATAAAAGGCTGCAACCCACACTGATACAGTAATTCACAATAAATTAGCTTCATTCTATTCAAACTTGGCCTTTTTGAGGTCAAATACCGCAAGGTACATAGTTACGGACTTAACTTTTTATGTAAAATGTGTACCTCACAATACTTATAAAATGATTACTTGATTAACGCTTCATCCAGAAGATGTTTAATCCTTCCCTTGAGAAGGTAAAAGGTGAGGCTTCAGTTTCAGAAGTGCTCTTGACAGTCATCTAAAGTAAGCACTGAATCTTACATGAAGCCAAAAAATTTTAACTTGCTTAACAAGCTTACTTAACAAGACAAGAGTAAAGACACTTTTTCATATAAAAAAATTTAAAGTTCTGTTTTACTGTATGTGTTAGACATATCTACAACGGATTTTTTTCCCTTACAGAATGATAGGTGGAGAGGAGCATTGTACTTACATCATTATTAATAATCCCTTTTTTCTAGTAACTTGTGTCCTGATTTTCAAAAGCACTAATTATCAGCATATCCTAGGTACTGAATGGTAGTAGCAGGCACTCAGAACTGTTGAAAATAGACTATTAGTACTTGTACTTATGCCACAAATGCACCATTTGAAAATATTCCTCTTGAAAACAGGTAGTTTACTTAGTCAAAATTGGTTGACTAATTACTATTTTAATAATTCTTGTAGTGTTTTAAAATGTTAGTGGATTATTTTCAAAATTAATATGTCAAAAATTTAAGTTTATGATAAATAGACTTTGGAAAAATTTATACAAGGCCGTAAATAAATAATTTGAACTTCAGTCTCATTAAAAAGTAAAACAGTACGTCACACGACAATATCATCCTATCTAGACAATACAATCTTGCTATATTTTATTGCATAATAATTTGAGAGTAACATCTTAAGTAAAATACGTAAAGAAACAAAATCATTAGATTTACTTCCTTTAATATTGAACAACCAAAGTTTCTCCTTTGTACATAATCCAATTTAAAGATAATATAATTAGCACTTCCAGCATTAACAGTCTGTATTTACAGTGAATGTGATGGGGTGGATAATCTAAAGAGTATTCAAATCCGTATGAAACAAATCAAAATACGAAGATTTACAGTGGGCTCAAGATCCAAGACTTTTCCATTTATGGAATGCAATTTAAAAGGCTTTGTCATCTCTATTACTTGTAAGGGTTCCTGAAATGATGGTTTTTAATAGTATTTTAAAAATTTGAAATCTTCAGTAATGCCTTCATTATTTGTACGTGACATTAAAAATTAATTCCAATACTTCCATTTAATTTTTCACTTGCTTGTAGACCAGTCTGAAATCTGATGAAAGGATAACAAGGAAATTTACTATATAATCCTAATTCCATATTCCTGAATATACAAGTGTTGGAAGTAGATGATGTCAGTCCATTCCAAGGGTTAGGTACACAAAACTTACAAAATGTTCTTCGCTCTTGCATAAAACGTGTACACAGTATCAATGAGCGGGGAACTTCAAAGTTTTTATGGGTTGCTGCTGGCATGGACCTTTGTTGATTGAAAATAAAATACCTTTCACTCTATTGTTCTGTAGCAGTTTTAGAAGTTAATCATCAATCCCTGGTGTTTCACCCTGTTGTATTCTGGAGGCTATTCTAATGGCTTCTTCCAGAGACTGTTGTTCTCCAAGCTGAAACAAATGCATTCAAACATACATAAATCCAAAATGTTACATATGCATATAAATGTTAAAAAAAAAAAAAGAAAATAAATCAAAGATCTAGATGTGGATCAATACTTTAGCACAAGTAAGTGTGATCAGTATTGTCACACCTCTTCTGGGTAATATATACCAGCAGCTATCTAATCAGCATGACAATTAAGATAGCTTCCGATAGCAGATTAAACTGAGTTTCTGTGTGTCTACTGAATACATTTTCTTCAAAGAACTGCTGCATGGTAAACACATTTCATGACACACAAAGTAGATGATATTTCAACTTGGCAGATGTAACAAAGCTAAGATAAGGCTTTCAAAAGTCATGGTAGCTGTTGAATTACATTTAACACTGGTAAAGCAAAGAAACATCTTCATTTTTCTTTACTTTCTTGCAGAAAGTCAGCTCTTTGGAACACCATATGACACTAATATATATAAAAAGTATATACTTATTGCAGAATCCTGACTGTATAACAGAGCAGTCATGATGACACTATTCAATTCTACAGTAGTTAGAGAGAAGATTATCTTGCAGTTGCAACTACAAGGCCATCAATGTATCTGGCACTGTCAGAAGCAACATCAACCAACCCTGAATAAAGACAACTGGACACAATTTTGGGAAAGAATCCATGGAGTTTTATAATATGTACAACATGCACATACATCCAGTGATGGGAACACTGAAGACAACCTCAACCTAACAAAAACGTAAAGCTGGCCATTTCCTATTGGCTCGGGAGAAAGATGCATGAGACTGTGCAAAGTAAAACCAGATTATCTGACAGATGGATAGACCTAACGGGACAGTTCTAAATATTGTCTGTAACTTGTTTTTACAGTCACTGGATATCACATTCTGGAGCCACTCAAATCAAGAAGAGCTCTGTTACCACCTCCTTAGGACTTCAATCTGGCTATCAAGCTACTGGCTTTATCAGTATTTAGAAACCAAATGGATTAATTTATTAGTATCAAAGTACAAAAGAGAAACAATCAAGAACTCAGGAATAATCAATAATATTTTAATTTTGAATCCTCTCTTTTATTTGTATTGTATATTTTAAGTTTAATTAATATAAAGATACTTCCACCAAAAGCTTCACTGCTGGTAACAAAAGAGGGGCATGTGCAGAGAGTGCCTATGTTTTCCTTTCATTCAAAGGACACACTGCTGAGGATGCAAGTTACTTTTTTTCTTCCTCTCATGCAAACAGTTGCCTTCTGATAGGCTCTTACATGCAGTTTTGATTACTGCCAACTTAGCACAAAAGACAGGAGTTCAGAATTATGAGCTTCTCGACTTTCATTGCTCTTCAATCAGCATCTGACTTGCTATTTTCCATTTAACAAAGGGGAAAATAACAATCTCTCTGCTTGAAGATATTAACACAATTCCTTTCAATCTGAGCTCTTAAGTAGTACCATGCATACATACACTTAGACTGCAGCATTAATCCTGAGACTCAAATGCTCAGAGGTTTTGACCTCATATTAGTTTCAGTGAATACGAACAGTTTGAAGGAACCAGACTTAAGTTGCTGTTACTTCCACAGGCAAAGTATATTTTACCCCCTGGAAATGAAATTTGTGAGTGCATTTTCTGCATTTCCTTTTCTATTTGAAGCTATTTCCAAGAACCTTAACTTACACTGCTTAATACTGATTTGTTTGGAAACTCTCTTGAGCATCTGCTCTCTGCATAGCCACAATGATGTTCTTTTATATTGGTATTTGTCAGAGCTAAGGCCCATCATGCAAACCATATTCAAGACAGTTGCATATACTCAACTCCCTTCCATGAAAATTATCCTTCTCCTAATTGTATACTGTTTCAGGATGTATGGTTCCCGCGATTGTCCATGTTCTCTAGAACAAAATGTGTGTCTGTGGTGATACCCAGACAACAATAAGATCAAACCCACAAAGTGTTGAGTCCCAATTCCACAGTAAATTTGAATACAAAAGTAGCTTCAATACATTCCCACTGAACTTCTTATTTATGCACATAGTTAAACACAGAATCAAGAGGGCTATGAGGTGGATCAAAAGTATTAGGCACTTTGCAAGACTGATACTATCATGCAACCCAAAATTTAAAGTAATTGAACTCCTTTTATTTTATTTTGAGTTTAAAATTTACTTCTGTCATTGGAGTGGCAATTTCCCTAAGATCCTTCAGTCATTTATTTGACCCTTGACTGCAATGTCATGCACATAGTTAAACACAGAATCAAGAGGGCTATGAGGTGGATCAAAAGTATTAGGCACTTTGCAAGACTGATACTATCATGCAACCCAAAATTTAAAGTAATTGAACTCCTTTTATTTTATTTTGAGTTTAAAATTTACTTCTGGAGTTGGAGTGGCAATTTCCCTAAGATCCTTCAGTCATTTATTTTGACTGCAATGTCATTTAGAGATGAATTTTTAAAATACTGTATCTTCCACGTTTAAAATTCCAAAAGCTTTCTATTAACCTACCATCATATCATATGTAACAAAAATAAAATATACACATAGTTAATTTAATGTTCAAGTAAGGTAGCATACTGGCCATCGTTTGTGCTAGAAGTTTCGTTCAACCTTCCAGTCAAGCTTTTTAAAATACTGTATCTTCCACGTTTAAAATTTCCAAAAGCTTCTATTAACCTACCATCATATCATATGTAACAAAAATAAAATATACACATAGTTAATTTAATGTTCAAGTAAGGTAGCATACTGGCCATCGTTTGTGCTAGAAGTTTCGTTCAACCTTCCAGTCAAGCCAAGCTTCCCTCTGAATAAACTATTCATGAAAACACTTGTCTAGGTTTTGTTTTCGGTTACTTTCGAGATAAAAGCTTAATTTGTGCTTGGTTTCCACCTTCTTTTAAATTGGCCTAATTTAATTTAAATTAAACTCTTTCATACCTAGAAATTACTCTTTCATCACAGTGTTTGGACAATGTGAGGAACTATTTACAAGAGACTGCTGCTTGTACTGTGCTGGTTTGACACATAAACAGAAGGTTACTATTTCCAGAGATTTTTGATTATTAATCTTTCTATATAACTGTTTACACTTTTTCGCTATTAGCATTTCAAGGCTCAAATAACAAACTCAGTAATTTTATCTGTATAAGTGCATAGCAATTTACCCGTGAGAGTTTGGCTTTATATGTATCAGCTCTATATGTAATGCTGAAGGATGAATGAAAACGCTTTTCCACTGAAAACCTGTGACCCCATGAACAATTCAGTTGACCTGAAGTTTGGCCCTCCCCTAACCTCCCCCTTTTTTGGAAGTTCTACAAGTAGATTTGGAAAATCAGGTGCTTATTATTCCTCTTCCTAACCCTATATATTATTTAAACTATGAGATCATATGGTTATGGACTATTTTTTCAGGGGAGCCAAGCTTATTCAAATCATTTTGTTACATGACTAGGAGCTTCTAGCTCTAGAAGTAAGAAACACTCAAAAAAACCATTTATCACCATCTCACCTGTACTGCAATTTGTGTTCCATTGGATGTAGCCAACAATGTAACAGGTCTAGTTTCTGTTGTCACTAAGTGGTGCCCATGTTGCTGATGTCCCATTTCTGATGATGCACTATGAAATGCTGCTAAGTCTTGAGCCACAATAGCAACCTTCAAGACCAAAGGAAGAGAATCAACTGGATGACATATCTGTTACCGTTACTGACCTCATACAACAGTTATCTTCAAAGTTAAAGTTAAATTTGAAGCTGTGATTATTCATGAGCATAATTGTATTGTGTGAAAGATACATTTTTTTAAGAAAGGTTGCCATCACTGTGTTCTCAGAGTTACCTATTAGCTCTCAAAATATAAATATCCTCAGAACTGCACAGAAGTTCAATAAATGTGCCTATAAGCCTGTGATTATACACACAGAGCATGGTGCTTAATAAGTATCTTCATTTTAATGTGGTGCATTTTTAGAACAGTGGAATGCATTTTAACTTAAAGATTAAAAATTATATCACTATATTTCTACTAAAAAAAATAGCTATTGTATTTGTATATTAAAAACAAAACTGCAAATACATACTTACACAAATGTTTCCTATCTGCCAAATAAATTACAGTCCCATAATATTAAGTGATAAAGTTACAGTTTGTACTGGATTCTATTCTTAGCTCTGCCACTCATGTACTGTCTGACTTTGGGCAAAACGCTTAGCATTTCTAGGTCTTATTTTACATACACCTAAATGAATTACCGGACTGGTACCTCAGAATTTTTTCTTGGTGCCCAATTGTTTTTAAAACATTCTGCCATATATTGATGTATAGCACTGAAGTAGAACATATCATACTCTTATGAGAGGAATGCTATAGCCAGGTGTTGAAAACTGCTTTACTTAGTTAAATCTATGTGAACGACAGAACTGTGATGGCTTAGGCGCCTATTTTATATCATCTTATAAAGGAACATTACACATGTACACAGGATAGTATCTTACCTGCTGTCCTTCGGTGCCTTCTGCAGTAACCATCGCTACAGAATGTGTTCCTGCAGAAGAGATGACGGCATCATGGGCAGGGACTGTGATGGTGGTGCCATCTTGTGTTACCATAGTGATAGTATTGCCAATGGCCTGCATATCTGCCTGGGATATGTTGACCTGAAACACAAAATAATTCCTGAAGTAACAAAAAGGTTTGATTGCTGCTCAAGTCATACCTGAGTCTTAGCTTTCGGCAACATAACATATGTTTTTAAGTAAGGTTTGAAAAAAAACCAAAACAATGATATACATTTGAAGTGTAACAGCATTTATCAAACAAATTCCTGCTAGTTGGCTCAGCAGGAATACTCCTGCTAGTTCAATTTCTTCATTTGAAACAAAATGTGTAGCAATCCAGAACAAAAAGGCAACTTGTTTGTAATAGTGAGGAAAAAAATTTTTAAGCCATGATCACAAGTAACATACTGGCCAAAAGATCTAGCAGCCGTTACTCCACTTCCTGACCAGCATGCTTATGCATTCCTTGAGAATCACCATCACTCTTTGGCCAAGTCCCCATTTTGGACAAAAAGCCCTCATCGCATTCCTCTTACTGATTGGGTTCTAATATTCCATAACCTTTCAGACACACTTATCTGTTTACAGAAATAAAATTATGGCTCTCAGTAATAAGAAAAAGGATGCATACTTGCCCCCAGAATCTACAACTCCAAGTTAATAAGATCATATCCCAAATAACTGCATGATAGATTATCTATGCATGTGTCTTACACAATGGACAATGTGACTCAAGGTAGTACCACCTGACATACTTTTATCTTAATGGAAGTACTGAAGAGGCCTATGAGGGCTTAGAATTTAAACCATGAATAAACAATTCATAAAAAATTAATGATATAAATTACTGATGTCTCCAGTATAAACGCATTAGGGCATCAGATACGTGATTTGATGTCTGATTTACAAGGTAATAAAACATCCCAGAACTAAAGTCAAGCTGAAGGATAATTTAAATAAATGCGAGAACTCCATGTCATGGCTTCTGCAGGCCTTCATTTTAGAGGGTAAAAATGCCAGTTACCTAGTATAGGTGCAATGTTCAGGGCTGGCAATATAACAGCCTCCTTTAATATTTCATTTCCAATTTGAATTTAGAAGATATCTTTCATATGTTATGGCATTTCATCTACCTTTCTAGGTGAGATATAAACTTTTCCCCATATGCCTTCGATACATTGCCACAGCTAAACAAAACGGTTGTGTTGAAATCCCCTCCCAATGACATTTCTTATGAAATCCTTAAAAAAATATATCCATGGGAATTTTCAAGTGGAGGTAGTATCAAAGCATTCCTTAACCTCTTGTTTATGTTAGAAATGGTAAGAGCTGCACACTACCAAATAGCTAGTAAAGCAGGCACCTAGACTAGAAAGATTTCCCACCCACCCAAAGTGTGTGCAGACAAGACAACCGTGAAGATGACCATCAAATATTAATAGACTAATCAGGGAATTCTAAGAAACCACAGAAACTAGGCTGTATCTATAACAATTGTTAAAATAGCCCATGCCTACTTTAAGAGTGACAAAGATAACAAGTATAGCCAAAAAAAAATCTAGCTTTGTATTAATACAGTTTGAGATGTCAGAATATGTAGTTTAATTTAGGTATTCCACTAGAGGCCAAACCCTAAACATATCCTGATCCAGCTCCAAAGAAGCTTCTTTCCTTAAGAAACCCATGTACCTATTTATCAAGAACCCTAACTGATTTTAGAAAGCACATGGAGTATCTGCAAACACCTGCCTCGATTCTCAACATATTTTTGTCAGCTCTTTAACACTGTGGTTACTTACATGTTGGGTTCCGTCCTGGGATATTAGTGCTACTTGTTGACCTAATCCTGACTGAGTAACTGTAGCAACCTGTGCAGAAATTACATCTTCTCCCTCTACACCTGTCACATAGGTTATCTGGGAGCCTTTGAGAACATCTTCACCTTGACCTATTTGATACAAAGAAGGCAAGAGGATAGTTTACATACTCTGAATGCTGCCAGGAAAGCAAATGACAAGGATTAAGTGCCAGCCTGGTTTGAAGGTTTTAAACACTGCAATGGAAGAATTACAGTGGAAAGATGAGAAAAATAAAAGAAGGAAAGGTAGTAAAAGCAAGTCAGAAAGTCTGTTGCTTTGGGAGCACAGGGTATAATCTTTTAGCAATGAGTTTTAACACACATAAATACTACACATAAAGAAAATACACATTTAGTTCATAAGCAAATATTAAAATGGTGACAAACATTTCTAATTCATTCATTAAATGTTAACCTCTCCATACAAGAGGCTCCATGCAAACACAACTGGCAGCTTTTTAAAAAAGTTATTAATTAACAAACATACAGAAGAACACAGTGATGCCTTTGTGTGAAGATTTAAGTAAGTTCATTATCTTCATAAATGTTTAACCTCAGCAAATGAATCTTATCATTCCCTTAAAAGGAATTAGACTATAGCAAATCTGCTTGAGGCATTCAGTGCAGTTTCCCACATACATGTAGTAAAACCACTTTTCTGACCAAAACAGTTTGCACGTGTATTTCCTATCTTCAGTCACATCTAAAAATCAGAATTTGACAAGTGATATTTGTCCTATCACAGTACTTCCTTCAGTCTGATCTTTTATAGTCATAGGATTCAATACTCATGATACCATGAAAAACATAATCTCAGGAGTACTGCAGCACATGAGCTTATTTTCATCTTTGCCTCTAGGACAGTTTACAGAAACTGCTATTAGCAGCAAAACCAGCACAGTATGAGGGTGCTGCAAAGACAGATTTTCCTTTTCTCAAGGCAGTGCCCTTTACTCCTGCACAAAACACTGTCACCAACCATGGTGTTACACGTTTTCTTAGAAAAATCCGTAAGAAAAATCCAGTAGGTTGCAAACAAACATTTTAGATTCTCTCAGGTCCCTTCCCACATTCATGTTTATAGCAGGTTTGCTAGGACTGCAACTCAAATTTCTCTTATCCCAAGGACTGCTATAAATGAGTTTATGATCTGGTCAATTACTCCGTTTCTGTTTACAGGTTGCCTACCACACTAAAAAGTCCTACACAAAGAAGTTAAATAACTTCATTAAGTACTTCAGATTTTTATCTATGCTTTCATTTCCTTGGTTATAAAAACCCAGCAAAATATTATCCAGCCCATTTTTTTACAATAAGAGATTCAAAGACTGAAACTCTAACCTGGAGGTGGCTCAAAAAAAGCCTCTTGTTCTTCTTCAATGGGCTCTGTGTCATTGTGTGCTGTCCGCTTGTGCATAGCAAGTGTAGAAATCTGCTTGTATGTTTTCCCACAGTGATTACAGTTATATGGTTTGGAATGAGTATGTACAACATGATGTTTATACAAACTGGAATACTCTGTAAAACGTTTATCACAACCAGGAACTGTACAGACATAGGGCTTCTCCCCTGTATGGAAAAACGAAAGGGATAAAGAGAACTTTATCCAGAATGTACAGAAAAAATTGTCAACAAATGCTATTTAGTGACACACCTTCATTACCAACCACATTTCAACTTCAAAGGCAACAGTGAAGGTCAAGCTCACAAAGTTTATCAATGCAGCCTCTCACTATCTTTTTTTAAAAACTACTACCAGTAAAAGTTGGGCCCTTTTTCTCTCTATCATTCCATCTAAAACATCCTTCTGATGAATACAGAATGATACAGGCTGAAAGCTGCAATGTCAGTTTGGCATCGTATTGAGAATTTTGTTCTTTTATTACTGGAAGCCCCATACTTTTCCTCAATGATCAGGTATGTTGATGCAGTAGTACAATTTCACTTACTTTTGAGTCTTTAAGCTCTGAAGAAATCTATAGGAAGCACATGTTTAAACAATTATGATTTCATATAAAACCACCTTTCATTTAAATATCAATGAAACAAATGTCCAAATTACATTATAAACTAAAAAGATAATCTGAGATACAAAACATACCTCTATGAAACCTGTTTGTGCTTCTATAAAATATATAAGGCTACCAAGATGATATGGCTATCACTGGCTTTTACATTTTAGAACCTTCGAATTTGTGCCAATTATTTCTGCTGACTAACCCTGACAATCAAGTTGGATAAGTATTTTCACCTCCAGTCTATAAAAAGAAGGTTTTGACCACCGCTCCAGCAGCAAGGAAGATACAACTGGGATGAAAGGGTGACTCACCAGTGAGCCAAAGTCAAGCTCAGACTTGTGCTTTACTGTTACTTATTTAAGAAACAGCTCACAACGGAGGCAAGCCCCAGAACCATATTAAGAATTTAGCCCAATGTCCACTGAAGACAAGGTTTTGCATTTGTTTTAAAGAACTTTGTATCCAAACCAAAATTATTCTGCCTTTACAGCAAGGCAGAAAACCTAACTGCTTACCTATCCTCAGTTGAGGGGAGATGAGGCCCAAACAAAAGTACCAAGCCAGGTCATAGAAACATGACTATACCCAATTACAATGCACCAAAACAGTGTTTCACAAGGAGAATGACACAGCCTTTCCCAAGCAGATCGCACTTCAAAATACAAAACATCACTCATATACCTGTGTGTATTCTCACATGATTCTTATAATTAGTTGCACTGGCAAAAGCTCTCCCACATCCTGGCTCTGTACAGTAATAAGGCCTTTCGCCTGTATGTGTCCTGATGTGAACCTTTCTAATGTTAGATGTTGTGAATGACCTGCCACATCCTTCAAATGGACACTTAAAGGGCCTTTCACCTGAAAGAAAAGAAAAGGTATACATGCAAAAGTTATAAAAGAACAAAAATCCTAAGTTACACTTAGACTGAATGTTCTCTCTTTGAGACCCTCAGTCAGAAATACCACAAACATGCCACTGTGGAGTGTTCTACTGTTTAGCCAAAACTGGCAAAATTCAGGAAAAACATACAATCTGTAAGCTAAATTATGAAGCATTTAGATTAGTACTTTATGATGTATAAACCAGACTCAGTTGCTTGGATTAGCTTCCACATTGTCCATATTCTAACATATATTTAACACCTCCCCCAATTCATACATACATCACTCAAAACAAGTGTATCATACCATTTGTACATTTGTCAATTGTAATTCATAAAATGAAAAAAAAACCTTCATGATTTAGCATATAACCAAGATACAAATGGATTAGTAAAACTCATTATAGAAAGCACTTAACCTTACACGAGAAGAACCAACTTTTTAAAGAGAGACAGCCCTGAAACTCAAGTTTCAAACCCCAAAACCAAAGCAATCACAAATACAGGTTCTTTTTAAAATAAGTCTATTTGTGTAATATAAATTTAAGCACAATAACTTACCTCATTGCACCAAAACATTTCACCATGAACACTAGATAAGGCCAACCCCTGTCTAATACCCCAATACCCCTGACCTTTCAGATCTATCAAAGCACACAGAGGGAAAGAGTTAAGGGGGTTAACTTTGGAGAAGTGCGAGCCACCTGACATGCTGTCCTGTTGTAATTTCACACGTCCTAGACCTAAGTACATCCCACCTACTGTACTGCTTACCAACGAGAAGAATCTGAGAGCAAGAGAGGGCAGATTACCACTACAGATACAACATTAAGTACTTAGAGACAGAAATAAAAAACGAAGTCCTGATAGAGACATTAATACCACAAAACTCCAAAGTAGTTAGCTCCTTGGCAGAGGAAACTGTAATTCACTCCTTAGGGCAGCTGTTTCGGGAAGGTTTTTCAGCTTCTTGCCAAGGCAGTGTGCGTGTATTGAGCGTGCACGCCTCAGTGTTGTGTTACCATGGCTCCCCTAACCCTTGCTTCAGCATAGGACCGCAAATCATGCCTGAAAGGAGCAGGGTTGCAGAGTCAACCCCACCCAACAACAGACCCTGCATTAGAAACCACAACAGATTGCTCTTAAAGAACGCCCGCAAGAATGTCATCTGACTGGTTGGTGAAGTCAGCCTTTTAAGTTTCTAAGGTCCTTGTTAGAAAAGCCACTTGTTTCCAGGTGACAGATTTCTAGCTCTAGAAACGCAATGCAAGTCAGAACCCCACAGCAGCTATGAGGAACCATCCACACCAGCTTTTCTAATACCAGAATAGTATTATGTCTAGGGAAGTCATGGAGGACCCCGAGGCAAGCATTTGATGGCAACAGAAAGTGAGACTGGGTTGCCACTGAAAGAGAGGGAAAAATAACTTTTGGTTAAAACAGGCAGAAAATGAAGAAAACGTTAACCCTGCTTTAATGATAAAGGAACGAAAAGGTTATAGAGCCATGGGAGAGAGTGGGCAGAGCCCAGACTTGCCTCCCTTGGGTGCACTGTTGCAGCTTGCATAGGGTATGAGTATACACTACTCCATCCATCTGCACAGAGGACTTGGTGCAATTTTCTTCTCATGCTTTGGCTTCCTGCAACTACTCATAAATCTAAAAAAAGACACCCCTGAACTCTGGCCCCTGGACTGCTGGGAGTCTGTGACTGTATTATTAATATTATTCAAACGGATAAATGGTTACATAGGGCTGGCTCAAGTCTTTTGTCTCAACTGCTAAATTAGATTAAAGCTATTAAATTACCATACAACTTCTATGGCCATAAAGAATTAAAGAAAACAGTCTACAGCTAATCAAGTTGTTGTCCATACTACAGAAATCTTTCAGTTCATAGTCTGTACTTGATGTACTACATAACAATGTCAAACAGTTCTCTTCTAGAACTGAAAACAGATGACACTTTATGTCTTCATCCTGATGACAACTTAACATCAAGATAGCACTAATCGCAACAGATGGCTTTTGAATGCAGAAGTCCAAGAAAGTAGAATTATCTCAATGTAATCTTGAGTTTTTATAATTTTTATTGCCTGCTTTTATCCCCCCCCCGCATTGTTCTTTTTAATCTGAGGAAAACCTATTTATTTTGTTCTTTTTTTGTTTTTTACTAAGATTCAGAAAGTTCAGTGGAAAAACTTGTCAGTGTTCTAGCAAACAAGTAAATATACTTAATGGAATAGGTTAGTATGTGATAGATTATTCTTCCCACATTTAAGAGGGTTTTTTTGTTTGGGTTTTTTTTGGAGATCTCAGGAGCAAAGGAGACATTGTGCAAACTTGTTTACATGTGTGTGCACCCATAGAGTTTTGTGGAGTGTAGTGTATGCTGTCTAGAATTTATTTGTGGTTTGGCTTTTAAATGAATCTTTTTTTAGACCAAACGTAAGGGGTTTTTTTTAATGCATTTGGAAGTTTTAATAACAGTTGGTTTTCTATGATATTTTTGTTCATTTTTCTGCTGCAAGAAGAGAAGGGAAATCAGGATAACAACAAGCTCAGAACTATCAACCTTCGTGAAGCTGGCATGCAAGTTATCTTAAAGCATCAAAACTTAAGAACACTGATGCCATTTCTAAAAGGCGAGCCATATTATTGAGGAAAAGTTCCTTGTTCTGTTACAGCTGCAAATGAAATTGTAAAGGTACCAGATGACACAGTGAAAATGTAAGTGATGCATTCCTAAAAGTTAGTGCATTTGCAATAGCAGTGTGAATGCTTAAGCACTTTTTCCAAGAAAAGCATGCTGGATTTGCAGTAAATGCTTACCATGCTGAAATGCTGTTGAGCTCACTGGGCTTCAGAAAGAGAATATACACAGGCTGATTTCGTAAGTATAAAGTCACAGAATGATCAAAGAGAAAAAAAAAATCCGCCTAAGTGAATTAACAAAAAAAATAATGGCTGATAGTAGTACCTGTGTGGGTTCGGATATGTTTCTGCAGGTCTCCTGAAGTCTTAAATGATTTGGTGCAATTTTCTTCTGTGCACCGATAAGGCTTTTCACCAGTGTGTGTTCGGACATGACTTTTTAACCCATACCCTGAAGATCAGAAAGGATGTTATAATAGTATAAACACAAAATTAGGATACTCATAAACCATCACCATCAAAAGCTGTGCTTGCCATTCCAATCAGGAAGCTCCCTGATGAGTAAAATTTGTTTTCACTCTTCAAAAGCTCTTCATTCTACCATACAGAGCAGCAGAACTTAGATACAGTTTAGAAATTCTTTCATCCTTCATTTATGAAGGAAGTACACTTCCATAATGCTGCTTCTTCCCTTCAAAAGGATAAACTGTAATGATTATAACGTGGACAAATACTTATTCTGTCTTCTGAGGAAGCTGTATGCTCTGTATTCCATCAACTTTTTATCTCTTACCACTACTGACATCAAAATGACATTTAATTACTTGCTCATACAAAAATCAGTACCATTCATGAACTCAGCAGTAAAAGCTCTTCTGCTATCCAGGCTCTAAATTCTAATTATTTTAAACCTTATTATTAACATCATCACATATATAGGTGCCAACTGATAGCAGTCATGGACACATCCCTTTAAGATTACTTTTAGGAACTCATCGTCATCAAAAACTCTACCAGTCTAAAGTGAGCTTTGGATCAGGCCCTCTGTAAATTATTCTGCAAAGAGCATTTTAACAAGATTTTCCTTTCTGCATTTCCCTGAAAAGATCATGACTAAAGAACCCTGAAACAGCCATTTTAGAAATTGAACTTGAATTTTACTTGTGTCCACAAATGATGTATGTATTTCTACAAAATAAAGTAACAGTCTGTAAGAAGATGGCACCTGCTTTAGTTTCACAGTGTGTTCTCCCTAAAACAGCTGAAATTCCTGTTTTTGATGTTTTTAAAAACACAAAGCTTGTCTACCAATCTGAACAATAATTCATTCTTACATCTAAAATAAAGTCAATTTCATGATCCAATCCAGGAGAGTTCTTAATATTTAAACCGAGAGCATTCAGTAATTAAAATGAACTTTATCAAAGGCAAGAATTGCTGAACTACAGTGATACAATGCTCTGACCAAAAATATGGTATTAATAGACAAACAGCTGTTTATAGCCATACATCAGTCTGTTGCAAGGGAAGAGAATATTTCATTATGTAGTTTTGAAATCCCTTTACAAACACCATGCAATTAAACTTAGGTGCAACCCTTTAAGTGTGGTTGTTTCCCTTTTGACCTTTCTCATTAGCATTTCTTTTGCTTGCTTCTATCCAAAGAAACAGTATTAAACGTATTAGATCAGATGAAGTTATTTTAAAAACACGTTAGGGTTTTGTTTTTTTTTAAATAGAGCCTAACTTTTCTAAGCATCATACTAATTTACATTCAAAGTAAAAGAATAAAATATGAAACAAGTTTTGCTCTTTCACTTTCTTCCATGTTCATTCTTCATAATTGCATTCTGCACGCTCAAATTCCATCTCAGGGAGAGCATAATTTATGAACAGAGTAGTCTGTACGAAAGGTAGAGTTCACTTAATGAGAAATGTCACTCTCTGATACAAATTCAATAAAGAACACTTAAAACAGCACCTTCCATCAAAGTTTCTTTCAAATTTGGAACAGAAGATCAGGTATTTGCCTCTAGCCAACAGGTTCAGCTTCTTATTATCACCTCATTTAACTTACACTATTAGTTTCATGTTAAGAAAGGCCTATTTTTTCAACATAAAATCTGACTGTAGCGTAACAGGTGAAGAGTAAGGGAACGTGTCAAGTGTTTCACCTTATTCCTCCTTCAGTAACTAAGAGTTACATCCTCTGTCCTTTCTATATGTTACATTAGCTGAAACGACTTTTTTTTTTTGCAGTTCTCCCAACCAAATTCTTTACTTAGTTTAAAAAAGGCAATATTAAAAACTTAACTTTATACAGAGACAAACACTAACAAGCAGGAGGAGCCAGTCTACAAAAGATTACCTGTTGCAAAGGCTTTGCCACATCCAGGATGTTCACACTGATATGGTCTGTCTCCTGTGTGTGACCTTTCATGCACCTGTCAAAACATCCAATACACTGACTTAATGAAATGTTGTATCTGATTACTTCAACACAGAAACAGTTCATTCTCAAAGACAACATATTTTATTTTTCTTCCTAAGATTCACATTCAAGTGTCTTCTTTTTAAATCAGTGATTAAAAAAAAAAATATGGTAATGATGTTTTTCCTAAAACTAAAGATGTCTCTTTCCGAGGTCTAATCTGATCCTTTCAGTCAGTTTTGCAAAAAACACTTCTGTAAATACACACAGAGTTGCCATCATGCAACTACATTAAAGACAGTATGCAAACATGCCTCAGAGCCCACTCCCCTCAGAGTGGGAAGAGAATCTGTTTTTTGACTCCAATGAGTGCTTCTAATGATCCTCGTATATTGCATGAAACCTCTACAGCAAGGACACCATTTTAACACAGAGTCAATGACTCACTGACTCCAGAGCGTTTTGTCAGAGACAAGGCAGCACTGCAAGGAGTCTACCTCATCGGCACGTGATTATCTCAGTCTAAGCTGGAATGTTGTAATGGAACAGCTCAACACCCTTACTATTTCAGTAATTCCTTTACTTAATTTAAAAAAGGAAGAGAATTAAGGAGTTGCCACCTGTAAAGAAAAGATGTTTCCGCTTTTCACTTTGAATGTTGGATTGTTGTGAAGAGTTAGACTTTGTATTATGATGGTAAAATCTTTCAAAAAATGGAGTTTTTGCATGACCATGCATACACGTAAAGCAGATAAAGTGAACACTGGATTTCAGAATTTCTGTGACACTGCTGGTAGAAACTATCTCAACAAGAGATTTCTTACATGCTGGCAATATAGGAGCCTAATGTTCCCACACCTGCATCTATCCAGAACACTAAGCAAAATCAGCTGAGCACCTGGGACAACCAATTATTGTAAAATCAATCCAATAAACATTTGACAAAACAGCACTATTGCCACTGGCTCTCTGTTAATTTCTGTTACTTTTAACCACATAATCTGTCAAAAAGAGTCATGCCTGCAAAGTAACAATGCTCATTTTACATTTCATCACCTTAAGATGGTGAGCTGTTGTGTACAGTTTTCCACAGCCATCGTAATCACAGCGAAAGGCCTTCTCTCCACTCTGCTGAGATTTTGCAGTCACTCTTGTTCCATGTCCTTGCAAGACAATCTTAAGTTAAAAAAAAAAAATTAAAAAACCCCTACAATGGATCAGAAAAGTCACACGCTATTTTGCTATCAAGCCAGAGCTGATCCTGATAGGTTTCTTTTGTCTCTCTCTGCTATGCCATGTATTTCTTAGTCCTCAATAAATAAACTAAAAATAAATAACTAAAAAGCTTAAGTTCTGATGAAAGGAAAAAGAGAACCTGTAAAACATATTTACTTGTAACTAGCAAATTTAAATGCATGTATTAATTAGCCAAATAACAACAAAGAAAATAATTTGAATATAAGCCCAGTGGCAAGATGACCAAATTACTAGACAGAAGAGGCTTAGATTGTATCTAAGGCACTGGATCCGTTCCTAAGGGAGATCAGCCATAAATCAGACCACCTTCAAAGATAAGTTCATGCAAAAGCCAAACAATAATTAAATGCACTTATAATGAGCACTTTTTGAAAATGAAGGAAAGCATTTTGTACTTTGTCATGTACATGTAATGCATGTGTTTTGAGCAAACTAATTGGAGCAATTTGAGCTAGGTTCTATTCTCCTTTCTGGCATGACACAACAGGAAAATACACAGAATAGCTTTGCAATGCAACTTAAACCACTTTTAAAGGCTTCTTCATACACCAATATGCAAGAAACATTCATACAGACTGAAGAAAGAGGTGAAAGCCCAAATGTAAACATTTTGATACAACTGCATGCAAAGTAATCGAGAGTACTTTAAAATGTCTACCCTTCCTTTAAACCACCCCCTCTTTTCTTATGGATCCAATTCTATTCTGAATTGTCAAAAGAACATTTCACAGAATCAATGAGGTGGGCAGGCACCTCTGGAGATCTTCTAGTCCAACACCCCTCGCTCAAAGCAGGGTCAGCTGCAGCAGGTTGCTCACAGCAGTATCCAGATGGGTTCTGAGTATCTCTAAGGATGGAGACTCCTGAAGGCTGTCCCCAGCCTTCACATTCCCGAGTAATTCTTCTTGGTAAGTATGAGGTCCAGCAAAGTGTCTCACTTTGCCAGCTGCTCAATAACCTGTGTTAGGTTGCCAGTTGCCATTCCTGAACTCCAGAAACCTCCTGGATTTCACGTGCCCTGTTGTGATGCTCTTCCAGCAGATACCGAGGTAGTTAAAATTCCCCATGAGGACCTGGGCCTGTGAACATGAAGCTTCTTCCAGTTGTCTGAAGAAGGCCTCATCTTCTTCCTCATCAGGCACTCTGTAGCAGACAGCCACCACAACGCCACCCACACTGGTCTGCCAGCTAATTCTGACCCATCAGCTCTTGACTGGCTCATCACCCATCCCAAAGCAGAGCCCTGTGCAGTCCTGCTGTTCTCACATGAAGAGCAGCTCCCCCTCATCTCCTTCCCCGCCTGGCCTTATTAAAGAGCCTCCATCACAGCACTCCAGTCATCTGAACTATCCCACCACATCTCCCTCATCCCAATGAGGCTGTAGCCCGGTAACTGCACATAGACCTCTAATTCCCCATTCAGACAGACCAGAAATTTAATTGAGAATAACTTTCCTATGGATTCTTCAGGGAGTATGCCCCCTGTTACCTTCAGACTGTTCTTAAGACTAAAGATGCAAAGTTGAATATGAAATTTTTAATCAACAGAAATGTACAACTCCACCACTTCAGAAAAGCTTCTCTGGAACCATGGAGAAAAACAACCTCATGAATCAAGAAACCCATTACTAATACTATTTTTTAACCTATGATATCATGAATCACAGAAATCACTTTAATACGTTAAAGATCATGAAGACGCTTGGTTGAGCACCTGCACTTAAGCATTGATTTGTTTTTTCTATCAGTAAACCTGCTACTATTTCTTTGTTATTTCAGCATATAAAAATATATATACAATTGCTAAGATCCGCTATAAAGCTGAAGTATGCCAAAGTTTAAAAGAAAATTAAAACAGTTCTATAATCATTGTGCTAATATCTGTAAGGAAATAACCAGAATTTGTATCAATATTAAGATTGATACAAAGGGGGAGGGGGGGTAAAACAAACGGAACACTTAGGAAAAAAAATCAGTTGAACATCACGAGCATTTGTTTGTTCAAACAACTGTTTGCAGAAGTATGTGTTTCTTCACAATACATTAGTTGGTATGACTTGGGGATTATTAAGAATTCAGCATTATCATTCAACAAGGACAGATATAGTATTAAAATTACTTTTCTTACAAGATAATACACTCTAAAGGAACTAAAAAATTCAGATGTTAGGAGGCACAAAATCAGAAGAACAAAGCGAATAACACACCTCTATAATAATGTGAAACTTGTTGGGAGAAATTGTGTACTTCAAAATACTTTTAAATAGACAAAATTTAAAAAAAACCCAACTGATTTTAAAAGAAATCACAAATGCATCCTGCGTTCAGACAGGCAACGCAGGAGAACAGCAAAGGTAAAGATCTCAGATAAGATTTTTATATTGCATACATACAAACTTCAGTCATATGATTCTGCTTTTATTATGAACAGATGGGTAAGAGATTTGAAAGGAAGTAGTGTGATATCCATTTGGGCACACGTAGTCTTTTGTTTTCACATGTAGAAATCACAAAGGGGTTTTATGCTTTTTTCTTTGGTGACAAACCTAACCACATGCAAGTTTGAATGACTACTTAGCAGCATGACATCTGTTCTGTTCTTGTGTTACCTGTGGACTTAAAAAGTTTATAAATATACATTTATTTAATACTATATATGAGACTATTTTATCCCAAGTAATATATTATTTCAGAATGAGTTACAAGTAGGTATCTACTTGAATCAAGACATAAACATGATTAAGATTTTCAGAGATAATTGATAGCTTTGGGACCCTTCAGTTGGCCAACTGAAGTCACCTTATAGGGGTCAGAATTTGAGACTAAGCCTCAATACCTTTTGAAATATCATATTTGTTTTGTTTGGAACATATGATGCTCCGTAAGATTGGCACATTTCCATATGGCATATATGTTGCCATATATGTATAAGATAAAACAACCTCCAGATTCACTTTGTTTTGGGGCTGAGGCTGAAATCAACATGTAACTGGATACTGGTTACAGGTCATTTTGCTTAATAGGCTCTTCCAGCTAAAACCAACCAAAAATCTTACCTTAGTCTTCCTTGAATTTTATATTTTGTTGGAGTTGTATCCCTATTCCAACCTACAAGTGTGCAAAACCTCTGAATTTCTTGATTTCATTTTATGGAATATATTCCAATGCCATAAATAATGCATGTATTAGCTATTCTCTCCTTTCACAGTCATGCCACACAGGCAACAATGGAGTGTCTGCAGCTTTAAGTATTGTGGGACCTAGCTTTTAAAAAAATTAAGAGAGAATTTTGAGGTAACTGTCAGAGGTGAGCCTATAATTCTTCCTTTCACAGATACTGTATTTTACTGTGGAAGATACTTTTCCTCCTTGTCTAGTTCGTTATCTCCTACATTAAACAAAAAGGAAAAACAGGGCTTCTCTGACCAAACCTTTCTCAGTGCAATGACTTTTCTGTTTTTGATTTTGTCGTTTGAATATGTGAGGGTATAGGGGTTTTATTATTGGTTTTGTTGTTGGTCATAATTCTTTGAAGCCCAGAATACTCCTTTTCCTTTAATAAAATATGTTATGATGACAAATACCATTCTCCCTACATAATTTTACAGATCCCAGGTGAAAAAAGCTTCAGACTTAGTAAGTTGCACCTGTGTTTTCCGTTGCCCTTTGAACTTTTAAGTTAGTATTTTCACATTGAAAAGGTTTTTATATTTCTACATACTAACAACATGAATACAGAAAAAGAAATGGAAGTATTTTTCTGCTTCTTTAAGCATTCACTAGGAACAACTCTCTTATCTACTGATTAGTTAAAAAACCCGCAATAAAAGTCAGGGACTCTAACAGGACAAGTGGAATCAAAATAAGTCACCAAAGAGAGAACAGTTCCAGACATATGCCTGGAATTGTCTCTCTTGAGAAGAAAATAATTCATTAATTGAGTCAGCATTCCTTCTGCTTTAAGGACTATAAAAAGTCAGTTCATTCTCTGGAAAAGAACTGAAATACTTACACCCTTACTGATGAAATACTCAGGTCAGCGTGAAAAATCTTAGAAGTCCAACATAATTTTTAATTACCTTTTAACAGAAAAACCCCAGAAGACAGTAAGCATTAGAAAAGCTTTTTAAAATCCTGTGAAAGGATCTAGTACAAAGTGAGAAATATGATCTATCTGTATAGGTTTGAGATCTAAAATTCCTGAAGGGTAGCAGCAGACCCTAGTTCATGGCTACACAGGACTACCTATCATGCATGTTGCTGGGCAGAGAAGAGAGAAGAAATAGATATATTTAACTATTTTGTATTGGGCTACATACCTGCATTTTTTTATCTTGTTCATTTTCACCTATCATTCCTGTGCCACTAACATTGTCATTTCCATCAATAGACACCTGAAAAATGAAGTTGAAATGGGAAAAACATTTACAGGTTATTTTTATTCATCTGAAAAACAGAGGGTTACAGACAGTTCCTGAGGGCTTATTATTTCATAGCTCTCTAGCTCCCTCTTGAAACATGGTTATCCTATAGTACATTAGCTTACATGAAAATCACCACTTGTAGCACCTGCATTATAGAACAGGTAAAGTGAGCATCTCAAAGTTGTCTTAAAACAAGGTAGGAAAGACTGCAAGAACCAAGTATGTTAACTTAATCGACTGACAAAAGTATTAAAATAAATTAATAAATTTAACAATACTGAGTTCTGACAGAAAAAAGAAAACGTTTACTTCTTTTACAATAGGGATATCTCTCTCACTCCCTGTTAAGCAGAATTTACTTGTTTCGAACAGCACAACTCCTTTGGAATCAAAATACCTAAGACAATGTGTTACATCTCAATTTGAAATAGTCAAATTACAACAGCTAAGCAAAGACTTGTGTATTGCTCCATACGTTTATTTTTAAAAACAGTCTACAGGAGGAGAAAGGTATTGCTGCTTTCCAAGGAGCTTATAAAAATATTTGAAAGAGTATTAGATGTTAATTTGAATTTTTTATTTAAATAAAAATATAATTGCCCTGTTTAAAAAAAAAAAAAACAACAAACTCTCTCACATACATCAACTCAAACAACAGTGTCTTATTAGTAACTGTAGAAAAAACTAATTTGAAGTATACTTTACGTAGTTTCCCGTTCCTTAATTGCCTCTGTATTGAGCACAGGCATTCACAATACTCTCTGCATGCATTACACTCAAGGCTGAGATTGATGCACCTAAATCTAGTCTAAGTGATTTTATTCTTCTCTAAAATAGTTTGGCAGGAACCCTACCTCAGCATGGTATGCTTATGCCCTTTCACTAAGGAGGTCAGAGCAGGCTCCTAAGAATGTTAATGGTTGTGTAAAGTATCTTGCTCAAAGCATCAGCTACCAACATTTCGCTTGGAGACTGAAGATGAACTTGTCCCATAAGAGGTTTTCAGACTGTACTATCTTTCTAAATTAGATGATTGTGAGCAGTACACTTTTGGCAACTTTGAGCTAAAACAGCGAAGAGGAAAGTGCCCAGGGGCAAGTTTACATTACAGAGAGATTGCAGAGAGACTCTGCAAGCAGGTAATTTTCGTGTGGGTTTTTTTTTAAAGGAAACAATAGCCATTTTGGGACCTTCTCCTGCAATTTTTGAAGGGACGGGAGAGAACCTTCACAGAAAGGAGACTTGAATCACTTCATTCTGAACTTCCTCTTGTTGGTTGAGAAAGGAACTGCTGACATGAAATAAAAAGTTCATCAACACCACTGGAAACAAACGATCCAAACAAAATGCGTGTGCATGTGTGTAGACATACACAAATCCCAGGAACTGTACTTTTCCAGCAGCTGGGATGTTGCAGGAAAACAGCTTATGAAAGAAAAGTATGTGTTGTAACTTCTTCACAATTCCATTATGTATCTTCTGACTTTATGTTCACCAAGAGCAATGATCTCTTTTTTTCCTTGGTTGCTTTGGGAGGAAGGTGGCATTGACTTAGCCCAAAATTAAGAGGACTCTAGTTTTGCATATGCTCTGCAAGATGTGGGAAAGTAGTACTATGCCTAACTGAGAAGCAAGGGACAATGAAAAATGTGTGTTCCACCACTTCCAGTGAGCTTCTCAGTAGTCTTCTTGGATCTCTTTGTATGAACTCTCTTACAGTTTCTACACTGATCTTGGGCAGCCTACTGATCTTTGCTATTTCTGCCTGTTACATAGGACAGGGGAACAGAGAAGAACCACCATTCTCCAAATCCGCCTTTACAATTTTCTTCGCCCTTTTAAGTTTTGAAGAGAAAGCCTTCAAAGTTAACAAAAAAAGCAAGACACCCAATTTTTAAACCTTTTCTGCAGTATTGGGAAAATTCTGGAAGGATTCCAAGGAAGATCTTTGAGTTCCTCCTAAAAGACTGTCTTAGATTCTAAAGAAAGATTTAGTCTGCCTTCCATTAAGAACACCTATACTGAGTCAAACTAAAGGTCAATCTAGTGCACCATTTTGTTTTGTTTCCAACAGCAGCCAGTAGCAGATGCTGGAGAAGACTAAAAGGAACAGGCCATGCATATAGTGATACATTCCCAGAAATATTCTCCCAACCTCCAAGCAATTTGTGGCTTAGGAACTTCCTGAACTAGAAGTCACATGTTTCTACGTAATAGCCCTGAATACATTTTTCTTCTGTGAATTTACCTAATTACTCTTTGAATCCAGGGACCTATTAGCATCCACAATATCCTACAAGCAGTGCCATGATTTAACTTTGTGCTGTTTGAAAAAGTATTCTTCCCTTGTTTTTCTTGAACCTGTCACTTGAGAGTTTCATATTATGTTTCCCAGTTCTTACACTGGTAAAGACAATGACAAGTCACTACTCTTTGTGCCACTTAAAATTTTATAAAATTCTATCATATACTTACCTCGTGTAATTCATATGTTTGGTCATCATTGTTGCCCCTTCCTGCACCTTTTTCAATGTTCCTATACCAGCTGCTATGAAAAGTATACATTGCCTCACTATGAAGTGTACACGGACATGGAGTAGCATCACAAAACCACATTTCTCCTTTTAAGAGAAAGACAGGGTTGTGACGATTGAGCTATTATTTGCTTTTGTATGTAAAACAGGTGCAATACTTGGAAACTCACTTCTACTGACTTTCCCTGAGAGGTTCTAGCAGCACCTTTCAGAATAAGGTTCTGAGATGAAAGCTTAAAGAAAATAAATAGAATTTTTCCTAGTCACATAAAAGTACACTACAGAAAACAAATTCACATTACAGAATTAAAAAAAAACACATGTGGAGATAAATAGGACAAAAACGCACATTTATTTGTATTTCTTCTGTTTCTTCTTCACCTTCTCAAAACAGAAACTTATAATAAATTATGATTAATATAGGTCCTTGTTAAGAAGGACAAAGTTATGCTTGATTTAAACCTAAATTAAATAGTAGCTAGGGAATGTGTAAAAGCTTGTCACTACAGCTCAGCTAACCTTGAATTACCTTTTATTTTATGAAATGTTAAGGCATAGCCAAACACAACACAATCTGACTGGCTCTCTTCGGATCTCTCCATTATAACAGACAGAAGCATAATGGAAAGAATAGTGTTTAAGCCATTTAATTATCCTAACTGGCCTTCTCCCGAAATTTGACAACTCTCAGTGACACTAGAGGACAGATTTTAAAATTTATTCTACTCTTTTTCCCGAGCAATACAAGCACTGATGGTAATCCTCCAGCAACTGGGACACTGCTAAACTATAAAGTCATGGAAGTTGCACTGCCCATTATTATACTTATATCATGCTTTACAGAAGTCCAGTAAAGCGGACAACATGAATTTTGAGCATCATACCACATTTTACTATTGAAAGTATGGATCAAAGAAGTTTCTTCCAAACTCAGTAACTGTCTAATTGTCTATTTTACACTTCATACCGTGCATTGTCCTTGCCCCGTACACCAGGACCTACTCTTCCCAATGCAAGGGGAAAAAAAAAAACAAACAAATAATCCAGCAATAGTGCCTGAACAAGAATAATTTAACTTTGTCCTTCTTTCCAAACAGTGCCCTCTCAAGAGGCCCTTTTCCAATGCTGTACTTTAGAGAAAATTATTATTTAGTTGTCTAAATCACTTTCCAAATCAGTCTGACTCCACATCATTTCAGTGTTCAATCTTCTATTCTTTTTATGCAACACTACACACTGGAGCTGCTCATGATAGTGAAGCCCTGTCATGACAATTTGGTGTTCTCTCTTCTAAAAGTCTGAAGACTCTCTTAATTATCATTTTAATTCTTAGATCACAATTGGCTTTTGCTGCCACATATCTTGTGATGCTACATTAAGACGTTATGGATAGAGAAAATGTCTTTCAGCGTACCTTGGCTGCATATTGCTCCAAAGCACTGATGGTATCTGGGTCAATGGCTGCATCTCCTGTATGAAGACCTGCCACTGTGCCATCAGCTTGAATGGCTAAAATGGTATCTGACTGTGGCATTTGCACCGTGTGGTGAATGTAGGCAGTAGTTCCATCCTCCAGCTGGACTGCTTGTAATGCACTCTGGTCATAACTGTCTGAGAAATAATATTACAAAGTGTTATGAAAGAAAAGGAATAGCAATGTCTGCATGTTACACGAGAAACTACTGCTGTTTAGGAAATGTCTCCTGAAGTCATATGTATGTATGAAATATATGGGATATATAACCACTATTATATGAGAAATATAAACACTTAAAATATTACTATGAATAGCACTGGTGAAATTTTTTTCCAGACAACACCTCCCGTAGCTTTATTTCTGCACACTTATAAAAAAGTGCAAAACCAATTTTATATTGGTCTAGTTTTATTTACAAAGGAAACCAGGAACACAAATATGCTTTCCGTTCGTATCTATTCATAATAAAATGAAAATAATGTAACACATGTACTGATGTCAATACTTCAGATTTTAGAATTCATAAATCTGATCATTTTAAGAACAGAATCATGCAAATATGCAAAAGAAACACATAAAATACAGGATGACTTTTAAGGAAGAAATTTTTATTATATTCTCTCCTCTTAGTATTGCTTATTGTAGAATGTAATTCTTGTCACACTAATTTAAACAGACTTAAAATATCTACTTGTTCACTGTTTGTAGAGAAGTAGTACTATTTCCAAGACTAGCATAATCATCTTCTGCAGAAATTTAAGTTATCATTTAAAATAAATACGTTTGCATTCTTGACCGGCAGCTGTCATATTTTCTGCCCTACTACCTAATGGCAAAATCATCAATAGCATGATCTTTAAAATTTAAGTCAATCCCTACATTCTTTAGCTCAAGAGGGATTGATTGATTGATTCTTACCTGCTTTCTCTTCTCATTTTCACATGGAGTTATTGCTGTAATCTGTGTAAGGGCTTACATTCTCTACTAACATGACATATACTTACTTTAATGTGATCCTGGGCTAAAAAAAAAAAAAAGTGAAATACACTGGTTTTGATTCTGTTTATAACTGTTATATGAGGCCCAAATAAGGAACTGAACCATTCTCATTTCAACAATTTCCAGATGTCACAAAGTAAAAGCAACAAATAATCTACACTGGGAATCACACTAAATAACATCATAGTCTAAAAAGAGTACCGTATTTTATACTGCTGAAGTTCTGTTGAACTCTAATGTAATAAATCACACTTAAAAAAAAAAATTACCTTTCGAGGTGTGATGAATAAATGCCGTAGTTCCATCCTCCAGCTGAACTGCTTGTCCATCTTCCAGACGCAAGCTGTCCCCTGTTCAGAAGAAAGAATTACAATGCTTCAATAATAGTTTGAGAAATCCATTAGTTGGAAAGATTAAACACTAAATACCTAGGATTACTAAATACCTAGGATCTCTTCATGACTGTTTCCATTAAAATAAGAACTCAAGCTATTATAAAGACCGTTAATTACTTAATATCAATATTTATCAGTAATACATTATTTTAGAATATATTTCTTGTATTATTACACTTACTGCTTTTGGGCATGGGTACATGTTGAACATACGCAGCAGAACCATCTTCTAATTGAATCACTTGGCCATCCATTAATTTACCATCTGAAATACACAATTAGAATTCTTAAAAAAAAAATTCTGTATGACACATCAGAATTTAAACACACAGTTGATACTTTCGGGATTAAAATATCAATAAAATATCACCAAGAAATAATGTTTAGTAAAGAGTAAGCACAGTGTGACTATACAGAGGTTTTAAAATTCTGGGATAAAAAAAAATGGAAAAGGTCTGATGTCCTACCCAGTAGGCAGAATGTTGATATTTGGGTTTCAAGTGTAAAGATCATCTCACTTTTGTTTGACTTATGTTCTGCATTTGATACCTGCATCTTATTAGTAGCAGAAATAAATGTTTATTTTATAGTATTACTTACTGTAATACCTGTAATTCCCAGCTGGAATTGGAACTTCATAAACATTGTACAGATTTTGCCTGACTTTACAATCCAAAGACAGGGTTAAAAAGGGGAATACGATTTCAACACCAATCAACTTCTAGTCATTTACCTACCTTTAGAATTGTGCTGTATGTAAGCAGTGGAGCCATCAGCAAGGGTAACTGCTTGCAAACTTACACCTTCCATGTTTTCCAAGTTGTCACCATCTAGCAAGGAAAAAAGTTCATATTCACTATTACCAGCATCAAACCCTAAAAAATCACAACTTAACCACCTCCATAAATTATTACATCCCCTTAAAGCATGATTTCAGAAATAATAATAGGAAATAGTTCTTTCTTGCTTTCTGGTTTTTGAACCTTGGAACATATACTAGGGTCATACGTTCAAGATTTTGCTCTGTAAACATGACAGCTAGAATGTTTTTTTTCTTAAATAAAAAAGTTACAATGTCACTGAATAAATAACTACAAAGCTGAGGTTTTAGGATAAATATTAATTAGGTCATGAGTGTCAACAGTGAAATAACGATATATATGCTTGTATTTATAATTTTGTTTTAGTACACTACTACCTGTCATTAATATACACAAATCTAGTTAGAATAAAACACAGATTTAGGAAAAAGTTTTTAATAACATAAAATCATAAGGAAGCTGTCAGAAAACATCAAGTTTAAACCAATCCTAGATCACCAATCTATTTTAAAACTCAAACTTGTTTAATACATACTTAGATATAAACTGAAGTTACAAAGTATAAAGCAGTAAAACTATAGTGAGAATAAAGTCAGATTTTATATCTCCTATTTTGGCACATTTACACTCCTATTACCCTAATTAAGAGATCATTCCCTTTCAGAATTAAATTAGTAAACTTAATCAATCTCAGTTAACTAAGAATAATTTGTTAGGTTTTTCATTTAGAATATACTATGTGAGTTTTAGAGTTTTATCTGAATTTCAAACAGAAAAGACACAATAATGTAGAGATATTTTAACCTGAAGGTTCACCTTGCACAGCTACTGCTTCTGTTAGACAAAGTGTCACATGCTGGGCCTCCATTCCGCCTCCAGAAAATTCAGTCATTCCCTGAGAGTCTCGATTTATCTGAGCTAATAACATTGTCCACCTAGAAAGAAAGTATTCACAAAACATAGATAGAAAATTTAAATACGGAACCAGAACTAGTTAAAGACAATCCAAGTTTAATTAGATTTTTATACAGCTGCTACAAATATTTTCTGTTACCTTCCGCATAAAGAAGATGCAATGAATGATTGACTTACCTGGAAAATACTTCAGAGGAAAAAAAGTTATTTGAAATAGGTAAATATTATTACCTCAATTAACTAAGCTGTTAAGAACTTCAGGTAGCAGTTACTAAACTGAAGTGCATCAACCACATTCAGATTTCAGTTAAATATGAACTATTCAACCAATGTATAAAGAATAATGGTGATAATGACAGTAATTATATCTTTTGGTCCCCAGAATTAAAATAAAGCTGACAATTCACCCATGGTCACCCATGACAACAGCAGGGCTTTAACTATACAAACTAAACATCTCTCTAGTGCCAGTAAGAGGTTTAGAATCTATCACACACTGGGAAATACACACTTCACTAGCAAGTCTGACTGAATGATCCAACCATTTCCCTAAGCTTTCCAGGAAGGTTTCTATTTAAAAAAAATTTTTTAAAAAAATCCCTCCTTGAAAATAATGAAGTATCTCATGATAAAATGTATTAATAAGACAACAGGATAGCGATTAGTGAGCAACAGTCACAACTCTGCATGTATCTCATAGAACCAGATATAGCCATCCCTTTGGATACTAATTTTTTACCCAGGCATGTTTCAATATGGGAGATTAAGAAGTCTACTGAATCTGAAAGGCTATTACTAATTTTCAGTATTACTAGATTAAGAAGCTATAAAGGAAATATGTAACATTGCAGTCTACTAACTCAGATGTTGGCTTTCACCACAGGAGGAAAACCAAAACCAAAAAAAACCCCCAAAAACAACCAAAAAAGAGTCACTGAGTTCTGCAAGCCCTTTAGTTAACATAACATACACTTAGAAGTGGATGAAAGGGAAAAGAAGAAAAAAAAAATCACATGGAATTGCAATCTAGACTACACAGCATTAAAGCAAATTTCCCCCCACCCTAATCTCTTGATAGTCAGGTTTTTCTTACAGTAAGAAGCATTTAGATAATCTCACAAAAAGGTTACAGATAAACAATCAAAGCTTTTAATCTTAGTATGGTTCTATGACCTGCTGTTTTATAATTCAAGGCTGAGAATAATAATCTAGGTTTTTAAATTTACTTATGATTACATTTCTAAATAACTAAACTATTTTTACCTCTACAATCCAGAAATGCCCTTGAATGACCAACTGATCAACGGTCTCAAAGACCACTGAGAAACTTGTGCTTACGTCAAAACTAAAGAATAATGAAAGCGAAGTTAAACCATTTAGGTAGTCCGGCACGCCTGCAGTATTTAAAAGGTTTGTACACTAATTTAGCAGTTGAAAATTATACCCAAGTAATATTTTCCAAATACATCCAAGTGACTTTGAACCACACTCTATTCCTAGAGAGGCAGGCAGCTACCTAAGTTTCTTAGCCTCAGCAGAGAAAAAGCCGACCCACACCCAACTGCTGCAGCTCTGCTGCTTTTGCTGTCTGAAGTGCTTTAACCCAAGTGCTGTGCACAAAGCAAATGTGTCACTACAGTCCAAGCCCTGCTAACTTTTAATGTGATGTTACACCAAGTACCTACATTACCTCCTGAAATTGTACCTGGAGTCTAAATCACCTTGGCATGTATGAGAATATTATTGACAGTTTGGTTAACCATTAAGAGCCCAGTTAATGGAATAGATACAGTTTAATAAAGTAAGTGGAAGGGGTAGCTTTAGGAAGGTTTTAAGCCCCTTGTAAAAAAAGCAAGTTTTTTCATGCGCTATGTTGAAAATCATGTAAGAAAAAACCACTACTAATGATCAGTTCACAATTCAGCAGGAAATATGCCTTCCAAGATTAAAATCCTACATAATATCTATCTTGAACATTAAGGAGAATAAAATACAGGTTTGTAATAGGTAATTTGAACCTTGAATAACTCTGAGCATCAAGAAGACAACACAGTAAAGATAGAAACCAAAATATACTAATAGGTAATAGGTAATTTGAACCTTGAATAACTCTGAGAAGACAACAGACAACACAGTAAAGATAGAAACCAAAATACAATTCAAAAGAGGTGCGAGAGATTTTTTAACATCCAAGGGAAGGTGGGAAATTCTTGTTCCCAGCATCCTTTTTAAGAAAAGAAGCTTTTATAGAAAACGAGGTCTCTAAAAAAGATTTAATACAACAGAAAAAGAGCCAGTGCAGAGAAGCTGTCCAGACTAAATTGCATTTATACTAGATGTTTCTGAAGAAAATGAAATAGCTAAGTTTTTTTGGATACTATAATCTAGGGGATAAGGAATTATACAAGGACATAAGAGATCCCGAGTTCAACTCCCTCCTTTGCCATCTCCACGTTAGTGACTTTGGACTAGTAACTTCTTTCCCTATTACTCATTTATCCCCCCATCTCAAAATAGGAACAGAACGCTTACTTAGAAAGCACTTTGCTCATAAACCAAAAATGGGACAACATGCTGTAGCTACAGGATCAGCTTAAACAAGCACTACACTGAAGTGGCCCTACCCTCAGTGTTCATGTACTGTGCAGCAAGTAAGATCAGAAAACTGATGGCAGTTAAAAAAAATAAACTAGCACCAAAAAAAGTTTTATTCCAGACCAGTTTGCAAGGACTGCTTCTCTGGAGGTACTGCCAGCTTGTAGCAAGTTAAATTAAGTAATTATGGTATTAGATGATAGTGGTGCACAGAGGCTGTCTGTCGTCTTAACTGCTAACAGCGTTCTGTATTGTCAATGTTTTCCATTCACTCAATTTTCAGGACACCTCATGGAAGTAGGCTGCAAAGCAGCTAGACCATTTCACACATTGGAGAAGAAAGGCTACACAACCACTGGTTTTGACTAGAACTATATTCTGAAACAATTCCAGCAGGGACTGCATCTCAAAGGCCTTCAAGCTTGGGTCTACTTTAGAGTATTTCTTCTCTTAGACAAATTATCTTTTAAGAAGCCCCCAGCATCTTTAATACACTATCTGCCTTTAAAATAGAATAATGTCCTTCCTCCAGAGCTTATACCTCTTCTCTCAACTTTGGGGAAGTAAAGAGGAAGCTAGTCAACACAGACAACTGCGAAGTCCTGAAAGAGTCAGAGCAGAACCAATTGCTTAAAGGGTCAATGGCTGTTTTGGAAGAAAAAGAAATCTAATGCAAGATAAATTCAAGGGCCAAAGGAACAAAAGTATTTGTTTAAATTATTTTACAGTGTTTGTTATTGTAGTACAGCTGATTAATAGTTACCACACACTGAAAAAAAAAAATCAGAGTGAACTGCTGCACACCACAGAACAACGTTCACTACTGTCCTCTATTCCAGATGATCTGGACAATCACGTGCTGTAACTTACACAGACTGCATTGCTGTTTTCTCCCAATTCCAACTCCTTTAAAATTATCCCTTCCAATATATCCTCTTCCCAATCCTCTGTCCTTACACAAGCTTCTTATCCCCAGCTCCATCCCTTCTCCTCAAGGTACCGGTTTCCTTCTTCAGCCAGTCTTATCATGGTACCAAATTTCCAGCACATCCCTCTTCCCAAATATAATCCCATCCCTTCTTGTCAAAATAACCTAAAATACTCCCATGTCCACACCAACTCCTTCTGCAACTAGTCCCCAAGTCTCCTCTTACTGCTGGTCTGCTCTACGTGTCCATCACACCATTGTCTACCACCTTCCTGCCTCTTTGTCTCAAGACGGTTCATGTTCAGACCCATCTTAGAAGTACTTTCCCTGTAATGGAGGTTGTAGCACTGGGACCCTCCCAAACAGCAAAACCCCAGCTTTCACTCACTCTTTGGTGATGCAGCAGTTTTGCTCTGTTAGTCTGCTGTGAAGGGAGGAGTACCCTCAGCCAAAAGTGGATGTGCTGCTCACTTTCAGCCTCTCCTCCTCCTCCCCAGTGGAGGAGACAGGCTAACCAGACAGGGCTACGAGCTCTGAGGAAGAGGATAGGGAAAGAACTAAAGACGACGTAAAGTTGGTCTATGTTGTAGAGAAATAGGTCAGGCTATCACAGAGATATTGCTGCTACAGTGTTACTTACTTGTTTTTCCTGTAGGAGTGGTCAAATACAGGAACAGGTTGCCAAGAAAGGTTACAGACTCTCCATCCTTGTAGGCATTCAAGACTCAGTTTGACACAGCCCTGGGCAACCTGGTCCAATCAGACTTGCCTTGATCGGGGCTGGACTAGATAACCTCTGGAGGTCCCTTCCAACTTGAAACTGTTCTATGGTATCTAATCATTTTGATATTGCATACCTTTAAAACAGTATCACCATGCTGTTGGTACATCATCCACCCTGCAAATCTAGTCTCCTATCGTATTTTTATTAATTTTCCATTATTTTTTAAAATCAGTCTGTTTTCATCAAACTCAAGTCTCTTCCCCCGCTTTTCTGCTGACTTACATGCTGCTTTCTCCTCAGCTTCCAGCAAATGTCTTCATCCTTCTTCCAATCCAAATCTCACCAGCTTCTTTCCCTAATCCACCTCATTGCTTTTATTTCTGTGCATTTGCATCACTAAGCTTTTTCTTTAAACCTCCTGTCTGCCAGGAATTTTGTCAGCAAGAACCTGGGAGAGAAAGGTTTCCTTTACCCACTTCAAATATTGCACCTCATTAGTTAAAAAGCAGCTGAAAGCATCCATTTTTAGGAAAATACATGAACACTGGGGTGGGGCCTGCATGGCTGCTCAACAAGATTGATGCACGTGTATTCTACTTAATCTCAAGAGCTGTCCCACAGAAAAGACAAGTACAGGCTTAGTCATGAGATACTCACTGAAGTGAAAACTTGAGACTTGACTTTGTGAACTCTTGCAAATCTTCACAGATCATACGCAAGTTGCAATTTTCAAAGGCACGTTAATGATGATATTTGGGAAGACTTTCACAAGGACGGTAATGCATATTGCATTCCTGAAATGATTAGTCACCAAAATACTCCTATGGTATTCATGCAGAGAAAATCTTACCATTCTTTAAGATGGTTAAAATACTTCCCACAAAAAAATCAGCCTGAGACAGAAAATGATTAGACTGAAAAATATCTGAACTGAAAACAGTGTCTGATAGAAGGAAGTAACAGCCAGTCGCAAGACGTAATGCCGAAACAAGTCTCGCGCTGGTAGTTACAAAGCAAAAGCAGTGAGTTAGTGATGCGCGCTGCTGACTTTATTATCCTTTTTGACAAAAGTTGCACCAGCAATGTAAACCCCCACTATAACACTGGTAGATAAAATATACCATCCAGCAGGGTACATAGGTGCAATTTTTAATTAACACCCCCCCAAATTCTCTGAATAGAAAAAACTGTGAACTCAAGTAGGCTTTAAATTCTCAATACTCAGAAACCAGAGGGCTGCGGGGAGGGGGGAGGAGGAGAGAGGTTGGTTAAAACTAAAGCATTTTTCATGAAGACTTCATCAAGTTGCCTATCTAGAGAACACCTCCTGTATTTTTCCCCTCTACTAATACTCAAACAAATAGAATCTTTTGGGTGCTGTCACTTGTTCTGGAGAAAAGACGCGATAAAAGAGAAGGTTTTATGTAAACTCAATCTAGCAACTGGAAACAGGAGTCTCCACTGAAAACTAGGAATCAAACAACTAAGAAACAGCAGGTGAGAGAAAAAGCAAAGCAAGAGATGGTAGAGGGCATGCTGCCATGGAGCAGAAAGTGGGTTTGGGGCACTTGGGAACTCCGGCAGCTGAGAGGACAGCATGAGGAGACCCCATGTAGTAGAGAATGTGACAAATAACTGGAAAATAGCAGGAATTTGCCATTTAAAGAATGACTATACCACTGTATTGCTGGTCAAAAGAAAAAACCAATAGTGACAGTAGCAGAAACTCCTTAGGGTAAAAAAAAAAAGATGATGCTTAGAGGATTAACAGGAAATAGAATAAAGTTTGTAATAGCAGTCATGGAAGAAAACTTACGGTTATAAAATGCAATCTAGAATGTGCAGGAAGAAAGAACTGGGAAAGAAAGACAGGAAAAAAGCTACTCCAGACATTCAGCAACCTTGTGATTGTTCAACCTCCTTGCGCAGACAGCACTGAGAAGTTTGAAATAATATCCATTTATTTCATTTGAAAAGAAACATCACTTTTATTTTTAATACACTTCTAAATAATGTACAAAACATTGTAATTTTATAGAACTTTCAATAAAAATCAATCCAGAAAAGTAAAATGGCAAATGACACATAACCCCACAATACTGGAACTTTCATTAAGGAATTTTACAAAACTCCATTCCCATGTTTGACAAAGCTGGATCCCAAGATCAGTTTGTCAGCACAGTAACATAATTAATTTTTTTCTGAATTAAATACTGGCTGCATTAGGGTCCTTAACAACTGATATGATTACAAATATCAGTAATTTCCCTAAACTAGTCTGATTAACAAACATTTGTGAAAAATCAAAATTAGTAACTACAATTAACATTCTGGTTAAATACACTTCAACTGATAATTAATATGCATTACAGCCTTCTGGGTCTCAGTGCAAAAAATTACTTACATAGACTGAAAAACTGACTAGTCCAGACAAAGTTTTTTTAGAGGTACCAAGTGTATAGCTTACTAATTACATAAAGTCATTTAACAGCTGTAAGCTCAGAAATAAAAACATAGCAGAACTAAGGCTCTCTAAAATCTTACTTCTGTTCCCATATGTACCTGTATGATAATCTTTTACAGTATTACACTAGAAATCTGTAGGTGGGTCAGAAATGAAATCTAGATCCTGTGGATGCTTTGATCAAATGCTTCAATAGATGAGATGTTCTTTCTTCATCAACAGCCTTTACCTTTTTCAGTATTTTACTATCGCACTGAAACATTGATTTCATGCTATAATCGGTCAGGTTGACTTTTAGTGAATAAACGTAACAAATTACTTCATGTTAGGCATTTCTAAATTTCTACATGCCTTCTCCTATAATCTTAAATTCTTTTACTGTATTTTTTCCACTCTCTTGTAAAGGCAAGCAAAACATAATTAAACAGCAATTTCCACCACATTAATCATCCACCATATAAAATGGAAACAAGGCTGAAATACAGAACAAAAACCTCTACTAAAGAATCTGGTAACAATAGTTGATTCAGATAGAGGGGTAAGATATGCAATTTCATAGCAAATTACACAATTATTTTCTAGCAAGGAAGTGTTGCGAATTGTGAACCACGGGCTCTAACCCTGGCCCGGGGAGAAGAACCTAATCAAGACTGACGGCACTGTCAGCTGCATAAGCATGATGTATACACTCCGAGTGGCAGCACAGCTAACTTGCAGAGACTCGTTGCCCAAAGCAGAGGTTTTCAGTCAAACTCAAGGCTCCTTTTTACTCTTTTTGCAGTACTTCAACCTTTCTGTTCCACCAGAGATACATCCTGATTATAATGCAGTTCAAGACTAATTCACTGCCACAGAGTTTGGTATCTCTTCAGAAATAACATAAATGCAAGACCAAATTTACCACTGCCATAACCAAGCACAACTCTGACTTCAGTATGAGCAGTGCGAACCACATTTAGCCTCACAGTTACTTTATGTTCCAGCTTTTTCCCCCAAAGTCATCATCATACATTCAGTTTACATTGTGAATCCCATCTACAAATCATGAATGTTAAAAGTATTGTCAGAGATCAGTGCTTGCATTTTATAAAAAAAAAATGGATTAACCAGTGCAAATAATGAATGTTTACAAATCCTTACCATAACTAATATTACAAGATTATGCATATGTGTGCAATTTCACACTGTGGGAGTGCTAAGGATGCTATGATTTTCAAATGTATGGTACTTAAAAAAACACAGGCAGATCAGAAAGCCACCCACCAAGAAGTCCTACACGTGTGGAGAAGACTCAGGTTGATCCCAAATATGACTGCTAACTTCACGTTTCTTGAACATATTAGAGAAGAAATTACTGGTTTATCAATGGAGGTCAAAGTACTTCCATCAGTGTATTAACTGTCAGCAGCGCTGACAGAAAGCTAATTAAACTCATGCTGCAGCTCTGGGACAAGCACCTCACTAGCAAATGCTTAGTTCAATGATCACACCTGCCTTGGGCAGCACTATTACAACAGCACTGCTTCTAAGTAACTACCCCAATGACCAGTACAGCTTCCTGAGCCAGAGATTTGAAACAGATTTGGGAGTCTTCCGAGATAGCCGATTCCAAAAAGCCTGCACTGAAGGTAATAAGCAATTGAGATCCATACAGCACCATTTGCAGAGGTACAGAGACTGGGATTCTGAAAGCTTTATTAAGGTACAAAAAGGTATCCTAATGCACGTGGTCAACGATCAATGCACTGAGACAGTTATTCTTAGTACACTGCCCTATAGGTTTAGCATGAGAAAGGGCCATATAATCTGTACCAAAACATCAAATTCAAATATGACTGAAAACACTTATGCATCATTCAGAATACTTGTGTGTGTGCATAGAATGGCTTGCAGGTGTCCTGCGACAGGAACAATGTAACTCAGCCACCAAAACAAGCCAGCGAGTTTCTCTCAACTCAGATGGTATTCCTTGCTCAAAGTTAAGACACATTTCTTCTCTCCTGGCCAAACCTGCATTATCAGTGCTCAGGCATACCTTTTTTCTAAAAAAAACCCCCATTTCTTTATTGCAGACTGACTGGTAATAAATTATTTTTAATAGTCAAAAAAAGGATAAACAATTGTAATGTGCACGCTCAAACTGAACATTTGGCCCGAGATCAGAAAAAAGCTGAACCTATGGTAGGTCATCTGATTTTCCGTTTTATACTTGAAAAGCTTAGAACATGATTAACAAAGCTGAGAAAACCCACAACTTTTAAATAATTTTTCAGCACACGTTAGTGAGATGAAGCACTAGATTTCATTCCAAGTGGATTTTCCCCCTGGAAGTCACAAAGTGAGAAACAGACTTAAAACACTTAACCAATGAACCTATGTTTTTTTAAAACTACTGGCTTTTGGGTTTTGTTTTTTACCATCAAGTATATGTACACAAAATACTGGCTATATGAAGACGACATCCAGATGACGCATGTCAGAATTGTATTCAGATTACTCCTAGGAATGAGCAGTAATGCCTATTTGCAGTTAAAAAAGATACAGTTAACTTCTGAAGCACTTCAGGAGGCTACAATCCTTAAATCATAAAACCTCCAGTTATATCAGTGAGTGTTTTAAATAAAACAAGGAATATTTGGTGAATATGTGAATACTTAAGGGCTAAAAATTTGAAAGAAATTGAGACCAACTATTCCTATCAGTGTTTTACTTTCGTGTCAGACAGACTTCTAACTCTCCTAATTGTCAAGAAATCACAAAAGTGTCTAATTTACATCACCAAAACAATTAAACCTAGCTGTGCCCCTTCAAATCCTGCAAATCCATTGAGACTGCCAACAAAACAGGGAATTCTGAGTGGGTTGTTTTGTGTGGTTATGAGTTAATTAGTAATCTGATAACTACATTACAGATGTACCAGTATTAGCCATGACAGTTAACAGCAGTGTTTTAGTCTATGCTTGTATTTCAGGAACTAAACGGACAGCCTACTGAATTGCCAACCTTTACCCTCAATTGCAAAAAAGCAGATTACAAATGTAAATTGAAAAACAGTACAACTAAACATATTCTAAGAAGCTCTGTGTAATACCATGTTAGCTCAGTATGAATACACTTAAGATATGGGCAACACCAACTAACTTGCAAATACAGACCAATCTTCCAATTCTGGAGAAGTCTGTCATCAGAAATGAAGTCCAAGAGCATTAAGCAGATAACACAATTCTCCCCTCAAGAAGTGTATATAAAGGAAAACATTCAGCAGACAATAAAATACAGACCAAGGGAAGCACTAAGTA